GTAACGCTGAAATGCTGGCTGTTCCCTCTGGGCGGCACTGTTGCTGAAATGCTGGCTGTTCCCTCTGGGTGGCCTGTGCTGCATGGGGATTGCCGCTTGCGCCGTTTGCTCCCCCACGGCGGCCCGGCTGAGCAGTGCAGAAGTCAGCCGAGCACCACAGTGGGAGGCAAAGGGGGGCATAAAGGGGGGCGGGGCAGTGATGTACACAGCCAGGCTCCACCCCCTGACCATGTACATCACCGCCCCTTCCCCTCCCACCATGGCACTCTGCTGACTTCTGTGCTGCTCAGCCAGGCCGCCGCAGGGGAGCAAGTGGCACAAGGGACCATTTGGGCCCTGCGCTCCCCATGCAGCACAGAGGTTCTGTATGGGGACCATGGCGCCCAAATGGCTGCTTGCGCCACTTGCTCCCCCGCAGAGGCTCAGCTGAGCGGCGCAGAAGTCAGCCGAGTGCCATAGCAGGAGGTGAAGGACGTGACTCAGGCAACAGCCAGCATTTCAGCTTTACAGAGTCACAGACATTGGGTTACTAGATATATGATGAAGGCCACAATCCCACAAATGCTTATGTATCAGCTTAACTTTAAACAAGAGTCATGTGCTTTTTTTCACTGAAGTCATGTGCTTTTAAAATTAGCCCACAAGAGCTCAAAGCTGAATAATAGGTTATTTTTTATCTGTCTGAACTTTCTGAAAAAATCTTTTTGGTGATCTTCCTTAAAATCAGACATTTAATTATTTATTATTTATTTGTTGAGCTCTGACAATATGCTAGTTTAACAACCTCTAGCCTAAGTTATCAGCTGAGTTGGGACATAGGATCTTAATCATCAGCCTAGACTTCAACTGCGCAAACTGGTAGGAGTAGCAGACTATTTTCCTTTAGTCAAATAGAATATGACGTGACATCGTCTGTGCTAAAGTGGGTTAAGACTTATATGATAAAAGCTCGAAAGAAGATACCATCCCTACTCAAAAGAGTCACAACTGAAGTTGTATGTTTGTTCCTTCTGCTAATTGAACTATTACCTTATTTTTCATAAATTATGTTCTTTTTATATAATTAGTCTTTCACTTTATAAAATCTAAAGATTATACATATGGGCTACGTCTAGACTACATCCCTTTTTCGTAAAAGGGATGTAAATTAGACGTATCGCAATTGCTAATGAAGCAGGGATTTAAATCTCCCCTGCTTCATTAGCATAAAAATGGCTGCCGCTTTTTTTCTGCACGGAGCTTTGCCGGAAAAAAGCGCCAGTCTAGACACTGATCTTGTGGAAAATAAAGCCTTTTCCGAAAGATCCCTTATCCCTTTATGAAATAAGGGATAAGGGATCTTTCGGAAAAGGCTTTATTTTCTGCAAGATCAGCGTCTAGACTGGCGCTTTTTTT